TTACCCTCCCCAAAAAGAGTTTGTTTTAGCAAATGCAACTCATATAACTTTTTCGCCTTTCAAAATTGGTTGAAAGTGAAGTTTTACCTTCTTGTTTCTTTAGTAAATAAATTTATTCAGCAAAATAATTATACAAATTTATATGTAAAAATTTTAGGAGAACAAATTAATTCTTTACATGATAAAGTTGACAAATTATTTTCTCTTATCAATAATCTTCAACAAACAGCTTAAACCAGCTTTTGATTGAAAACAAAAATAAGGATATTAAAATACAAAATTTTATACAACCTCCTCCTATAGTAAAAGATTATAATCTTGAATCTCCACATGTATTAGAAAAATTATTGGAAGAAAAATTTAAAAACCTTAAATTATCTACTTTAGAATTTTCTGAGAATATACAGAAAGATTTTGATAAAACTCTACGAGATGAAATAAATCGTCTTTCTAATAAATCTAGACATAATAAATTTGCTAATAAACCATATATGAATCATTATTATTACCCTCGACCTTCTCCACAAGATCTTCTTTATGAAGAACATCAAGAAACTACTAATAGTTATAGTAGTCGTTCTGTTTATGAATGGAATTGTGATGCATTTACTGATAGGCAATTAACTAATATGGTGCATAGGATGTTAATGTACTCCTCAGTTGCAAAAGCAAATGGTAATACGATCGTGCAATCGCAAAATGATTGTTTGTGGTTTTACTTGGTGTCCTTAAAGGATGGTGGGATAATTATTTAACTGAAAATGATAGACAAAAAATTTATAACACAGTAAAAATTGAGAATGAAGGAACATCTACACCCATTATGATGGAAGATGCAGTATATACTTTGATAGCATCTATATTAGAACATTTTTCTGGAAAATTTACTAATAATCAAGAAAATATTCGAACATTGTTGAATAATTTTAAGTGTAAAACACTTACTTCTTTTAGATGGTATAAAGATTCATTCTTATCAAGAGTCATGGAATTACCGTAAAGTAATAGCTCTTATTGGAAAGCTAAATTTATAGATGGCTTACCAACTCTGTTTGCTGAACGAATAAGAAAAGTTCTTAGGAGAGATTTTCCTTACATTCCTTATGATGATTATACATATGGTCATCTAATAGGTGTTTGCACACAAGAAGGATTAGCTTTATGTAATGAAATAAAGTTAAATCAACAAATTAAAAGACAACAATTATCGAACGAAGACAATTAGGTCGGTTACGTGATCAATTTGCTATGGATATTGGGCCGAAAATAGGGATAAAAGAATGAAGAAAAATAAAATTCCTTATATACCTAAAGGAAAACGACGACGTAAAAGAACAAAAGAACAAAGAGAATTTAGAAAAATTAATAGAAAAATAAAAGAGACATAAAATGTTTCAAATGTGGTCAAAAGGGTCATATTGCCCCTAATTGTAAAAAGATTAATAGAATTAGATTATTAGAAATAGATGAACAACTTAAAGAACAAATATGCAAAGTAATAGAAGAATCAGATACTGAGTCCGAAACAGAAGAAACTAATAGCTCGAAAATAATATGCTTGAAAATGATGAATATTCATCTAGTTCTTCGGATGAATGTCTTCCATGTCAAAATAATAATAATAATGATTGTTGTAAGGATAATAGTCTTTACAATATTATATCTCAATTTCAAGATTTACAATTTAATATGTTAACAACTGATAATGTTTTAGAATTACTAAAACAAATACCGATCATGATATTCGTGATAAAATAATTAAAATGATAGATGTGTCTCATAAAAAGAAAAGGAAGTTAATAAAAAGGATATAGTTTTAAATAATAATCCTTATTCAATGCAGAAATAGAAAAAGAATGAAAAATTACTAAATAAAGAAGAGTCATCTTCTTCGATTATAACTATTGCAGACTTACAAATAGAAGTTCATAATATAAAGAATGAAATAAAATATTTGAAACAAAATAACGAATTATTAGAAAAAAGAATTAAAACAATTGAGAATTCACAATCAGGTGAAAACTCTATAGTTGATCCACAAACTCTTCAGAATTTAGCTGAAAATATATCGAAGATCATAATTATGAATTCCTAAAAACAATACAAATAATTACATCTCAAAGATGGTATATAAAATTAACTCTAATGATAGATAGACAATTTGTCTTAAACACTGTTGCAATGATTGATAGTGGTGCTGATTTGTCTTGTGTTCAAGAAGGGTTAATACCCACGCAATATTTTGAAAAACCTCGCATGCATTAAAATCCGCATCTAATCATACATTAGATATTTCATATAAATTGCCTAATGCTTTTGTTTGTCGGATAATATTTGTCTTCCACAAACATTTTTATTAGTAAGAAATATGCCAGAGTGCCTATTATATTAGGACTTCCATTTTTATGTATGTTATATCCACTCAAAGAAGTTAATTTTCAAGGTTTTACAGAACCTATAAAGATAAATCGATAAATTTCAGGTTGTCTCGGACCTATAACAAGGTCTATTAGGTCATTAATAGAAGCTAAAGAAAAACAATTATTTTTCATTAAAAATGAAATTATGAATTTATCAATACCGAATTATCGAGTAATACTAAATTACAAGAAAAATAAAACATATTACAATACAATTTCAAGAATCGGTATGTGCTGATCACCCAAATGCTTTTGGAATAGAAAGAAACATTTAGTTAATCTCCTTATGAAGATAATTTTAATGAAAAGGATATTCCTACTAAAGCAAGACCATGTCAAATGAATTCGTATATATGAATTTATGTAAAGAAGAATTACATTCTTTGCTTCAAAAGGGTTTAATAAAACCTTCACAATCTCCTGTCATGTACTCGCATTTTATGTTAATAATGCAATTGAAAAGAACGTGGCGTCCCAAGATTAGTAATAAACTATAAGCCACTTAATAAAGTTTTAAAATGGATAAGATATCCTATACCTAATAAAAAAGATTTATTATCAAAATTATATAATGCCAACATATTTTCTAAATTCGATTTAAAATCTGGATATTGGCAGATTCAAATAAATCCTGAGCATACTTATAGAACTGCTTTTAATGTGCCTATAGGACAATTTGAATGGAATGTGATGCCATTCGGATTAAAAAATGCTCCTTCTGAATTTCAGAAAATCATGAATGATATATTTATTCATTATATGGATTTTATAATTGTTTACATTGATGATATCTTAGTATTCTCTGATAATATTGAACAACATTTTAAACATCTAAATATATTAAAGGATGTTATTTTACGAAATGGCTTAGTAATATCTAAACCAAAGATGCTTTTGTTTCAACATAATATAAGATTTCTTGGACATCAAATAAGTCAAGGGAAAATAACCCATATTCAACGATCAATTGAATTTTCTTCTAAATTTCCTGATGTTTTTACTGAAAAAATTCAACTCCAGAGATTTCTAGGAAGTTTGAATTATATTTCACCATACTATAAAAATTTACAGAAAGATTTAGCAATTCTATATGATTTGCTTAAAAATCAATTAAATTTGATTGAATGAAAAGCATACTCAATTAGTTAAGCAAATAAAAGAAAAGGTAAAAACTCTACCATGTTTAACATTAGCAAATCCAAATTGGAAAAAGATAATAGAAACTGATGCTAGTAGCATAGGATTCGGTGGAATCTTGAAATGATTAACCTCATGATAATAATGAATATCTTATTAGATATCATTCGGTAAATGGACGAAACCTCAAAAGAAATATGCAACTGTTGCACAAGAATTTCTTGCTATTGTAAAATGTGTATTAAAATTCCAAGATGATTTATTTAATCAGTCGTTTGTCATTCACACTGATGCACTTGCTGTTAAACACATGATTTATAAAGATTATAAGCATGATTCTTCAAAGCAAATATATGCTCGATGGCAGGCTAATATTTTCGGTCTTGGCCCAATTGAGTATTAAGACACTTGGTATAGGTAACACGTCTTTGAAAAATATTAATAAGACACCCTGACATTTTTTAATTGACCCCAACAATTAAAATATTTAAAAAAATGATCATAAACTAATATTATTAAGGCACCCTAATATATACAATACAACCTGTAAAATCTGAAATTTAAAACAAAGGTACTCCTCTTATGATAATCAAATACACTATAAGTTAATAATAATTTAATTATTAAAATATAATTAGACACTAGCCTGGTGTCACTCAATTGTTTGATCGCATATTAATACATAATTACGATTAAATTGAAAACATATTTTGTATATTATGATTTATTAAGCTTACAGCGTGGTACAATGTTATAACCACTAGTGTAATGTTAGTGATGATGAATTTTTTTGGTTTATGTGTCCTTCAATCTTATACTCGCATCTAGCATATAATTTTATAATATTGATCGACAATGAATGAGATTTTATGGTGAATGTGATTGTGACTAAAACCAAAAACATTGTTTAATAACCTCAAAATAACAATGGCTAGACAGTCATGTATTTATAAATGTGCCAAATCAATCATTGTCCTATAAAAGTTTAAAAGTTTAATTTAATTATTTTACAATAAAATTTTCCATCTCATAATACATAAATATAAAATTTGTACTCATTAATAACCCTAATTTGTGGTATATGATATTTATTGATTTGTGAATTAATAACTCTAATTCAAAATAATGATATTTATTATAAACGTTTGTGGTCTTAATTTTTGTAGTAAGAATGAATAAGAAGTGACCATTGAAATATGAGAACCGAAATAATAATTTACTAATCCTTCATATTTCCACTTATAAAGGGAGTTTAATTAAAAATAAAGCAAATACTAACACTTCAAATTTTCTTTTTTAAAAAATACCATTTTGGCCGAATCAATTTTTGCTAGATGTAGATTTTTTTGCCAAAACTTGGGGGGAAAAGTCCCGCCCCAACAAAATACACAATTCATTTTTTTATTATTTTTACATAAGATAAGATGTACCAAAATCTAAACACTTTGACCAAAAAAGAAGAATCTTCAACCCACTTCCTCCTCTCTAAGTCCTCCCAAACACTTCCCAGTTCCATTCTGTCCCTCCTCTCCCGGACCAGTGCGCATTCATCCTCCCTCATCCTTAACCAACCAGAACCAATATGGACGGATTTTTATAGATCTAGGGTTATTAGTTTGGTTTTGGGTTCATTCGATTTGGTTCGGGATGGGATTCTGTTTGTATCTCATATGCTTTCTCCTTTTCAGTGATTAACAAAAGGCCGATTAGATTAAAATCGTGGATCTCTTGTGGTGGATGACGATGTCCAGATGTATGGGGACGGTGAGATTGGAGGCCAGAATGCTTTAATGGAGGCTGCGGAAAGTTGGATCGAGCGTCGGAAATGTAGGAGAGAGTCCTGCATAGGAGGGAACGGCAAGGTGGTCGAGGCAGATCTTCCTTTATACTCATCGATGTGGAGGTTTTTTCAGTTCACTTTGAGTTGTGCTCCGGTCGCTCTGCTAATTTTAATCCTTTTGTTCTGGTTTGCCTTTTCTTTTTTAAGCTCAATCAAGCAAAATGATATTCCGCAGTCTTTTCTAAGGACATTAGAGAAAAAATAATGTTTCTATTTCTATGATATTATTTAAATTAGGAAGACTATTGTTTCTATTCCTTGTTTGTCCTGACCTTCTTTTGGCTTTCAGTGATTTGGTATTAAAACAAAGAGCAGTCCCAGATATTTTTCTTAGCACAATAGAGCTTTTTATTTTTTGTTCTTATTATAGTTCAGTTGTTAGGTAAATTACTATATGAAATCTTATGAGTATTTTATTTCTGGTATATGCCATTTGTGTAGGAACGAGGCACATCAACAATTTGATGACGAAATTGGAAAACGATGATCAATTCTTAGGAGATCAAGCTAAAGCATTATATCGGGTCTGTTTTATAGCCATTCTCCTAGATTTTTATTTTTATTTTTAGTTATATACATACTCCGTATTTTTTGTTCTTCATTGTTCCATGAGTATCAGCATAATTTTGATGTCGGGGGTGGTAGAAGAAGGATTAGGGTGTATATGCGTATTTAATGTTTTGCTTAGTTTCTTGAATCTAGCTCCTTGAATTTAATCTGGGAAGCCTGAACCTTTTGTTACACGTAGTGTTGCTAATTGATGTGGAAACTTATAACAGTGACCCCGTTTCTATAATTAATTTTAGTTCCATAGCATGTTTCAAAACAGAATTTGGAGAACTTGTTAAGTTTTTTTGATAGTGTTTACTTTTCCATTTATTAGCCATTTCTTTTGTCATCCATAATATAGTACAAAAAATTACGTGCGAAATGTTTTTTATGATATATTTATGTAGTCTGGCTTTTTATGATATGTGCTACAACTTGTACTAATTTGTGATATGTACTAGAATTGAAGCTCACCTGTTTCCCCCTTTCCTTTGTCTCGTGTGGATGGAGTATAGGCTGCATTCTTGGAGAGGTTTTGACAAGGAAACCACTATTCCCTGGGAAGAATGTTGTTAACTGGCTAGATTTGATGACAGACCTACTTGACACTTCTTTGGATACTATCTCTCAAGTAAGATTTATGTTTTTTTTTTCTCTTATTATAAAGTGAAAATTGGTTGCTATATTCTGGATGACCTTTGAGCATCTTCTGGTTACTGATTTTTCATCTATCTTTGCTTTTATTTCTTTGGCAGATTTTTCATCTTCTGGTTACTGATTTTTCATCTATCTTTGCTTTTATTTCTTTGGCAGATTTGTTTGGCTTCTTGGGATTGTCGGATTAATATGTGGGATTGTTCAGGTTCTCAAGATGATGGAAGTGCTCAACATGGACTCTTGAAGATGGTGGATAGTTTCTCTTTGAGTTCAAGTGATCATATTTTCGTTCATTTTTTCTCTTTGAGTTCGAGTGCTCATATTTTGATTAGTGCATTTAGTCCTGTTTTAGTTTACAAATATGTATTTGATAAACACTACAAATTTATGAGAATTATTTTAACTTTGAGATCTTTTCACTTATAATCGAAGATAAATGATGCTATTATGTTCAATCGAGATTTTTATAGCATTGATGGTTTTTCTAAAATACTTCTAGAGAATAATGTGTAGAATGAAATAAAATAGGAATTAATTTTCTGTTGGGACACTTTAATATGTTCGAACATGCATCAGTCTCAGGACGAATATAAGCATCCTAACATACTTGAGATAAAAGGGCGTTTATTATGGTCCTATTAAAAATGACGTATTGTGTCCTAAAATAGAATTTGACTAGTCAACTTGGCAATTATTTATAGGGACGCTTTTGTTTATTAGAACATTTTTGTGTCCACAAGCCTTTTAGGTCGGCCTACTACAGGACTTTTTTCTATTCGTCCTAAAAGTACAAGTGTCCGAAAAGTGGTTTAAAAAGACGCTTAGTAGCGTCCTAAAAGCTCATTTTTTTTTGTAGTGTGCTAAACCTCAGTATGGAAGAAATTTGTTTCCGAGGTAAGAGTCCTCTCTTTTATTGGGTGAAGACCAACAGTACACAAAACAGGAAAACGGAATGTTGAGTATCCCACATCGGTGGTGGGAGAGATTTGATATCAATATATAAGACTATGGGCTATTCCCCTCATTTCCAATTGGTTTTGAGGTAGAATCCCATAGACTTCTATATGGTATCAAAGTCAGCCTGCTAGGAGTCGGACTCCAAGCCTGATATGATAGAACTGGTAGGGCTGAGACGTGAAGTGGTGACTGGGCTAAACAAAAATAGACAAACCCAATCCAAGAAGTTACGTTGGACTTGCGGGAGAGTGTTGAGTATCCCACATCTGTAGTGGAAGAGATTCAATATTAGTATATAAGACTATGGACAACTCCACTCATTGCCAATTAGTTTTGAGGTGAAATCCATGGATTTCTCTACGGAAGTGGAAGACGTCAGGAAATAATGGTCCTTCTAACAGGACATGCGAGAATTTTCTCCCTTTCATTTTCGCAGGTGGGGACCAATTTCCCATTTAGATCGCACCCAAGATCCCTTGTTGTTGGTGTTGGCGATAATGATAAATGAAACATCGATGTACCGGAATGAAATGAGTTTTCGATCATCAAGTTTTAGATTGTTGTTTACATGAATTCTTGGGAAAGCCCCCACTCTAGACTGAAGTGCAAGTTGTGGGATATGTTAAATATAGCTGTAGGTGTTAATTATCAAATAATGAGTTGCAGCTATAATTGATAGAATATATATAATCACGGAAACCCTGATATAGTTGGATAGGGTTGTAACTTTATGTACTATAAATACCATGATGTACAACGTAAATAACACACAATTATTCTTTCATGGTATCATCCATCCTTCCTGGGCCATCGTTTTCTTCTCGGGTGTCCGCCGTCTCCTTCTCCTCTCCAATTCACTCTTTTGTTTTCTTCTCGCTTTAAGGTTTTAAGCGTAGCTTTCTGCTTTCATAGTCGATTAGTGTAGCGCAGCTTTTTGCTTTCTTCTTCTTTGTTCTTCAAAATCAAAATTCTGATTTTCTTTTAGTTTTTTCTTTTGCAGCTCCTTCTGCTTTGTCTTGCGCTGCTTTGTGTTTTTTTTTTTCTTTTTTCTGTCTTCTTCGCGTCTGAAACCAGCCACCACACACACACAAAAACAAAATTTCCTTCTAATCTGCTGTTGCTTGTTCATATCGTCTCCATTTTTCTGCATTCTTTTCTTTTCAGTCCTTCTTCTCTTGCTGTTGCCCAGCCCCCTGTTACTATGGCAAACTCGGCGGATTTTACTGTCTCAGGCACCCCCTCATCTGATACCCTGCACACCACACCTCCCACTGCCGGCCTTCCTTCCTCTCCGACACCATCTCATCTGGCTATTGGGCTATCCAACATCAAAAATTACGTCACCCCTGTGCTTGATTTCACAAATTACATGATCTGGAAAGAGCTTTTCCTTCCCGTCTTTCGCGGCCATGCCGTGATTGGTCACATTGATGGCTCCGATCCTTGTCCTCCGTCAACTCTCCTTGCCTCTGACGGCACTTCCTCCTCTAGTCCGATTCCCGCTTTTCAAACTTGGACCCAAATCGACTCCATTGTCCTCTCCTAGATCCAAGCCATTGTTTTAACCGAGATTTTGCAAGCAATCGGTCGGCCAAATTCTTCCCTTACCGCCCGCGAAGCGTGGCTTACCATCGAGCAACTCTTCCACGCTCAACTTGGTTCTCGCCTTCTCCAACTGAAATTGCAGTTTCATAGCTTAAAGAAAGGTGATTTAACCATAAATGAGTATGTTGGCTGATTCCTTAACATCCGTCGGTTCTCCAATCTCCGACAATGACTTGGTGCTTCAAATCCTGGCTGGTTTCCCTTCGGACTGCCAGTCTGTCTCTACTACTGTTAGCCCTCGAGTTCCTTTACCCACCTTCGTTGAAGCTCGATCAATGCTCTTCCTGCACGAAGTGCAACTTCAAAATACTGCCCCTTCTTCTTTACCACCGCTCTGGTCGCGGCATCTTCAACTGAACCTCCACAGCAGTAGTCAAACACCTCTACGCAACAGCAGCCATCTTCCAATTGTGGCCATGGCAGGGGTCACGGTTTTCTGAATAATCGGGGCCGTGGCTGTGGGTGTGGCCAATACCAATTTTTTGGTCAGTCTCCCTCACCGTTTTATGCACCTTTTACTAACTATACAGCTCCTATATTTACTCCCAGGGAACATGCTTCCTCTCTTCTTGGACCGGCTCCCTCCTTCCAGTCTAATTCAGCTGTTGTTCGGTGCCAATTGTGCAATCAATTCAATCACTCCGCTCGAGATTGCCATCAGTTTCAACAGCACGCTTATTTTGTTGATCAAAATAATCGGCTTTTGGTTCTTCCGTCTGTTGATTCCTCTTGGTATATGGACACTGCTTGTGGTAACACTATGACTCCGAATCAAGGTACTCTTACTCATTCCAAACCCTATTTCGGTCCTACTCGAGTTGTCATTGGTAATAGTCATCATTTACCTGTTACATCAGTTGGTCAACTTCCTTGCTCTAAGTTTCGATTTCCTAGGGTTTACCATGTTCCTTCACTAACTAAAAATCTCATATCTGTGCGTCAATTTGCAACCGAAAATCAATGTTATGTCGAATTAGACCCCTTTGGTTTTTCTGTGAAGGATCTTTGGACGAGGACCCCTTGCCTACGTGGCAATAGTGCTGGTTCCCTTTACTCCTTCCCATCCACACTGCTACCTCACTCTCATGCCCCGTCTTCTCCGTCCTGTCCGGCGTTCGCTGCTTCGGTCTCCTCTCATGTCTGACATCAACGCCTTGGTCATCCACATTCTTCTGTTTTATCTAGCTTAGTGTCCAATTACCGACTTCCTGGTTCGGTGGTTTCTTCAAATAAATTTAGACTTTGTCAGGCTTGTCAAATTGGGAAGCATCATAAGCTCCCTTTTATGCCATCCTCTTCTGTTATTTTTAAAGCTTTTGATATTATACATACCGATGTTTGGACTTCTCCATGTCTTTCATTTAGTAGTTTCAAGTATTTTGTACTTTTTCTTGACGATTTCACTCATTACTTATGGGTGTATCCACTCAAAAATAAATCTGAAGTACCTCAGAAATTTATTGACTTTTATTCTCTTGTCCAAACTCAATTCAACTCCACAATAAAAACTCTTCAATCTGATGGTACAGCTGAATATGTTCACTCTCATTATCTTCAATCTTTCCTCAAATCTAAGGGCATCACCATGCGCATTTCTTGTCCGTACACTCCTCAACAAAACGGCAAGGCTGAGCGTATGAATAAAACTCTCCTGAATATGGTTCACACTCTTCTTCATCAAGCCCACTTACCAAAAGAATTCTGGGTAGAGGCTTTACATACTAGTGTTTATCTGTTAAATCGTTTACCTACCAAATCCAAAAATAGTGCCGTTCATTTCTCACTTCTTTATGGTCATCCACCTAACTATGGTCTATTAAGGGTTTTTGGGTGCTCTTGTTTTCTCAATCTATCTCATTTAGCTTCTCATATGCTCCATCCTCGATCTGCTCCATGTATATTCCTGGGTTATCCTAAGTCTTATAGAGGTTATTGTTCCCTTGACCTTGCTTCAAAGAAAATTTATGCCTCTTGTCATGTTGTTTTCGATGAAACATCTTTCTCATTTTCTCAACTCGCTTCAGTTAAACCACTCTCCACTCCTAGCTCCCAATTTAAACATCATTCTTTTCTTATTCCATGGTCCTTTTCCGCTACAGTACCCTCTACCGTGGCACCTCCAACTCCTCAACAACAAGTGTCATCTGTTCCCTTAGTATTCTTAGATCCTACACCCTCTCCTTCTTCACAAAATAATTTGGGTCCCCCCCACAATCCATCCTCCCACTCATCCTATGGTCATCCGCACTGGGGATGGCACACGTAAACCTAAACATATCCTTTCTCTTACTACTACTACATCTTCTTCACTTCCACCTGAACCCAAAACCTTCACTGAAGCAAATAAATACCCTGAATGGTGTGCTGCCATGAGTGATGAATATAATGATCTCCTCATCAATAATACATGGGATTTAGTCCCTCCTCCTGTTTCTGCTATCATTATCGGCTCCAAATGGGTTTTCCAAGTTAAGCTCAAATCTGATGGTTCTCTTGATCGATGTAAAGCACGTTTGGTAGCTCAAGGCTATAATCAGAAGCCTGGTCTCGATTTTGATCAAACGTTTAGTCCGGTGGTTAAACCAGTAACAATTCGGACTGTCTTAAGCATTGCTGCTTCTCGTAAATGGCCCATCCATCAGTTGGATGTTAAAAATGTATTTTTGCATGGTGATCTTAATGAAATTGTCTGCATAAAACAGCCTACTGGTTTTGTTCATCCAGATTATCCTCACTATGTGTGTTGATTAAACAAAGCTCTTTATAGCTTAAAGCAGGCTCCTAGGGCTTGGTTTCACCAATTTACTGCCTTCTTATTTTCTCAGGGTTTTAAAGGCAGTCGCTCTGATTGTTCTATGTTTGTGTACTCTGTTGGGTCGGACATGGCTATTTTGTTACTTTATGTTGATGACATTCTCTTGACAGCATCAAGTACTCATCTCCTCACTACTCTTATTCAGTCACTGAAGGGTGCTTTTGCCATGACAAATCTTGGTCCTATCAGCTATTTTCTTGGTGTCTCTGTTGCTCCTCACTCTGGTGGTTGGTTTTTACATCGACGCAAATATGCTGAGGAGTTATTAGCTCGCAGTCATCTCACCGATGCTAATGCCGTTGCCACTCCCCTTACTCCAGCTTTTTAGTTCTCTGTGGATGAGTCCTAGCCTTTTCACAATCCGACTCTCTATCGGAGCTTGGTGGGTGCCTTACAATATTTGACCTTCACCAGATCCGACATTCAGTATGCCGTTAATCTTGTCTGTCAGCATATGCATGATCCTCGCGAGCAGCATTTTCAGGCGGTCAAATGCATTCTCCGCTACATTAAGGGCACACTTCACTATGGCATTCATCTACGTGCTGGCCCTCTTGATCGCCTTGTAACGTACTCTGATGTTGATTGGGTTGGATGTCCTACCACTCATCGCTCTACAACTGGTTTCTGTGACTTTCTGGGTTCATCTCTGATTTCTTGGTCCTCCAAGAAACAATCTACCGTCTCTCGATCGTCTGCTGAGTCTGAGTATCGTGCGGTTGCTTCTGCATTGGCTGAAACGTTTTGGTTGGATAATCTCTTGTCTGAACTTCATATCAAGCTTCCGCAGCGCCCGGTCATCTTGTGTGATAATGTCTCTGCCACATACCTCGCTGCAAATCCAGTTAATCATGCCCGCACCAAACATATTGGTCTAGACATTCATTTTTTTCACGAACGTGTTGCTGCTGGTCTTCTTTGTGTTCTTCATATCTCCACATAGTCCCAGCTTGCAGATGTCTTTATAAAATCATTAGCAAAGGATAAATTTTATTCGTAGAACTAATCTAGGCATGATTACATCTCCTGCTACGATTGCGAGGGATGATAGAATATATATCATCACGGAAACCCTAATTAGGGTTTCTGATATAGTCAGCTAGGGTTGTAACTTTATGTACTATAAATACCATGATGTACAACGTAAATAACACACAATTATTTTTTCAATAATGACCATTTGTTAGCTTTCTCTTATCCACGAGTCTTTTTTTTTTTTTTCAGTATTTCAATGAACCTTTTTCCTTGAACTTATCTGAACAAACTTGTTACCTGGCCCATTCGTAGTTTAATGAGAGAGTCTTGCTTGTGATATTGTTTTAGTTCTAACAAACATGAAATTTTCGGTCCGAAGGAGTACAAGATATACTCAGAGTAGGGAAAGAATAAACTGTTTAATCGTATAACTTAATTTGAACCAATTTGAAATCTAAATTCTTTGAAGAGTATAAATCACATATCAAAACTGGGTAGAGGGACAGGACTATTAAGTGGTCTTTTTGGAACGATTTGATTGCGAATATTTCATATAATGAGATCGAAAGTAGTTGGAAAAATAATATTTATAATTACATAGAGAGTAAATTTCAGTCTATGTTTTGTACCGATCATAATTGAACTTATGTTTGTAGCAATTAAATCTGACATTCAGGTGTAGTAAAGTATATAATCTCCTTACTTTTTACTTTCTTATATGACCACAACTTTTTTTGCCATCTAGTATTTTTATGTTAAACGGCCGGCCAGATGTCTAAACAATAACAATGCAATATCCGCTAGAGTTAAATTAACTAGTAAATGAATTTCAATGTATTTCTCTCATTAGTTTCCCCTCCCATTGATTTAAGGATTTTTTTAATTTTGTATTTAGTACTGCTAAGAGATTAAATTGCAGAAAACGGATCAGGAAAAGATGAAGTTGATGAAAGCCACCGTTGAAATTGATGCTGATCATAAAGTTAATCGGATCAGTGAACTTCCGGATTCTCTACTCTGCCACATCCTGTCATTTCTACACATCAAACAATCTGCTGCCACTTCCATTTTGTCCACCAGATGGAAGTACTTATTCGCTTTCGTCCCCGATATCGATCTTGAATACATGAACCCGGAGCTTCACTTTGATTTCATCAACTTTTGCCGAAGAATGATCGTACTTCGACGGGGAACTCCAATTTCAAAAATTTAAGATGCTCCTTTGGGGGATTTATAGCTAAAGGTGCGATTTAGCACTAAAATCATTGATATCTTTTGCGCTTTCTTGTCAAGTTCAAGAGTTTGAAGTTGATCTAGCTGAAGAGAACAGTGGTTGTAAGTTAGAGTATCCTCCTTAATTTTCTCATGCTATTACCTTAGTCATTCTGAAACATTCCTGTAGGCTCACGACAGATTCGAGGCTTCCTGATTTAGTTTCTTTGCCTAATCTTAAGGTGCTACGCTTGAATCTTTACTATCTAATGGATGTAATTTCAATCCGCAAAATCATGAAAGGTTGTCCTCTGCTGGAGGAGCTAGATATAGGTTGCAAATGTCCTGAGAATTTTGGTAGGGAGAACGCAATTGATGTTCTTGAATTCTCGAGTTCTTCTATGAAGAAACTAGTATTTCATCCTTTTGGGGAACGTCAGGATGTCACTATTATTGTGGCATCCAATAGTCTCCAAAGTTTGGATTGTCGACTGAATTGGTTATGTAAAGATGGCAGCGGCGAAGTGATATTAGATACGCCGAATCTTAAACATTTAGCCTTCAGTGGAACTCTGGAAAAATTGAACATTATTGGGGGCCTGGAAAGTGTGGATTCAGTTGAAGTAACTAATGATTCTTACTCCATTACAAGTGCTGAGGATTTAATTGTGCTTCTTCATCGGACACAAAATGCGCTGTCAATTTGTGCAACAATTGAGACCCTGGAGGTACTTTTACATTGAACTATTGGATTGTTGCATTACAAGCTATCTGACCTGTGATTTCGTTTATGAGAATGCCTTTCAATTTTTGTTTTTCCTTATGAAGGCCTCGGATGGTTTTTCACGTATGTTACCAACATTCGAAAACTTGGCACGTCTAGAGCTTAATGTGCGTGATGTATGCAGCATTCGGGACTGGGAAGCATTGCCATTCTTTCTTGAAAATGCCCCTAATCTAGAAGTTCTCCTTTTCAATCATGTGAGCACTAATGTAAGAAACGTTTTGTACTGTCATCATATTAATTCATCCAGTAACTTAATGTTTCTTTGTATGCATAGATACTTTGGACTAACGACTTTGTGGAGGAAGAAGTTGAGTGTCCTGTTGAAACAATCTTTCCTATTCACTTGATCGAAAATCTCAAGGAGATAGGAATTAAAGTTTTCAACAATGAAGAAGATGAATTCGCTGTTGTTGAGCATCTATTCCAGAATGCGAAATCATTGAGGAAATTTACCATTGGGGCAGCTCCAGAGCCTTCAGTTTGTGCAAGAATATCGGCTTTCAAGAGATGCTCTACGCTATGTCAAATTGTATTTGATGAATGGAAGTACATAAGGTTCTAAATGCTTGTGTAAAAGCTATCATTGGTGCCTGGTGGACATCGAATTTGACCTGGATGATTTTAATTCATTTGTTTTGTCAATGTTTTGTGCTAGGAGCTGAAAATCAGAATTTACAACTTTTCTGATCTAATTGATACAAAAAGGTCGATTGCAACTCATCCAGCTTGAGCTATGGAAGAAGTTACTTCGTTGATGGACTTAATTGCAAAACATGAAAGCTACTGGAGGGAAAAGCTGATAAGAAGAAACTTAATGGACTGAATTTTATTATTGAAGAACTTGTGGTCTAATGTTTAAGAAGCTGAACATATAAGGATCAATTCTGTAATTTTTTGCCAAGCTTTTCTTTTGTTTTTTTCGGCTGACCTAGTACTCCTTTAAAGACAGCCATGAGTACAGTTTTTGAGCACCATTTTTGTTACGCACGAAGACACGTACATCCGCTAGCTTTTGGCTTTGGAGGCTAGCCGAAGCTCCATTTCCTCTTGTTTTTATTCTTTCGGACTTGGTACTATTGTTCTTATCAATATGCTAGCTATCATGTCTATATTCATGTGGGGTTAAACCCTTTAATTTCTTATTAGATTTAATCCAGTTATTTCATATGTGAGATTTTGTTTTTATATTAATCTTGTCTATATTTTTTTTGCTTATATCTTTTAAATTGCTATCAATTCCTGTTCTTAATTATATGAAAGAAGACATCTACGTATATAGAGGCAAGAGCTGTGAATTAGTAACACATTGGAAGCGACTTAAATTTAAAGAAAATTTCTAAGATTGTATGATGTTCTTGTATGTTGATACAGGAGGCCTTCCAGTTGACTTATCATGATTATTGATTCCGATGCCTTATTTAATCAATTAATCTAGGATACAATAACTTTTTTCTTTTCGGTTGAGAGATTAATTGCCAAGTTCGATTCTAGATTCCAATTTCTTTTATGTTGGTTCAAATTTATAGCTGGTACTTCCTTTGTCCCAAAATTATTGTCACAGTTTGAGATTTAACTTTTTGTAAAATTTGAACTATAAATGAAAACTCAAATTAGAAAATAATTATGGGACGGAGGGAGAATTATTTTTTCATCCTGAAATTGGGATGCTAAAATTATTTTGGTTGGTTTTGTTCTATAGACAAGTATTCAAACTTCAGAAAAAAAAGCGAGGGATAAAAAAAAAAGATGAAGTTGATAAAATCAACAGTGGAAATTGATGATGATGATGATGATCAAGTTGATCGGATTAGTGAACTTCCTCATTCCTATGTTATCTGGACTCGGTTGTTTATGCTTCCATACCCGTGTCGATACGAGTCAACACCGATACGGGTGTGGAATCCATCCGGGATACGGTCAACAGAAGATGGGTGCGTTGACTTTTTGGCAAGCACCATTGAAGCACTCTGTTTGGTGGTTTCGTTGGTTATTCTCAACCCTCGATCCAATCAGTGAGGGAGATTGAGGGATAAGAGATCCAATCAGTGAGGTGAAGGGGAGGAGTAGAGATTTCGACGTTGGAGGTGAGGTGATTGGATTTTGATTTGGTCGGCGGCAGCAAGTTGCAGTGAGGCGAATGTATGGAAGAAGATGATTTTAAAGTTATATAAATTGCAAGGTTGATCTATATTGTTTAGAAATAATTTTAAAAACCCTCCATTTTACCTAAAGTGCTGCTGACTGGTTTCTTGTTAGCAATTTTGCCCCTTACCTTTACAAAAACACAAAATTGGCCCCAATTTGAGGCTTTGTGCACTTAATAGTTAAAATAATCTATGCATTTACTTATTACTATTATCTCTAGACTAGACTTACTGAATTGAATTATCCATACTTCAAGATAATGATATAGAACACATATTAAAAGATACATTTACACTACCATTACACTTATACTTGAATTAGTTAAATAAGTATCCCCGTACCCAAATAAGTATCCCCGTACCCGTACCGTATCCAAATCCGTATCCGCGTATCCTAATTTTACAAAATTTACGAGTCCGAAACGTAGATCCTGTGTCGTACCCTACACTCGTACCCAAGTCCGTGTAACCTAGTCTTATTCTATAGTTTGCCACATTTTGTCATTGCTACCCACAAGTCTATGCTGCAACTTCCATTCTTTCCACCGGATGGAAGGACTTATTCGCTTTCGTGCTCGATATTGATCTTGATTACATTCACGGAAATAAAGAAGATGATCAGATTTCGTTTGATTCGTGAAATTTTGGAACGGTATGATTCTGCTTCGACAGGGAACATCGATTCAAAAATTCAGTTTGTACCTTCGAGGGGATTGTAGCGAAAGAAACGAGACTGCTCTAGAATCAATGATATCAGACGTACTTTTGCATCGAATTCAAGAATTGAATCTCCATATAACCTCTAGGAGTTATGGCTTTCCTGTCTTAGACTTCCCTCCTGGAATTTTCACATGTGAAACCTTAGTAACTCTAAAACTAGGCTGGTATTTGGATACGAATTCGGGATTCCCAACGTGGTTAAGTTGCCAAACTTGAAGGTGCTACATTTGGATTTTTGGTATCGAATGGATGGATGCTCTGCTAGAAGGCTCATGGAAGGTTGTCCCCTGCTTGAGGAACTGAACATAGATTTCTCATGTGTTGGAATCATGACATTAATGCTGTCAACGTTCTTGATTTTTCGAGTCCTTCCCTTAAAAAGCTGATACTAACATTATATAGGAGATTTGAAAATGTTACTATTATTGTGACGTCAAATAGCCTTCAAAGTCTGGACTATTTTTGGCGTTCTAATGGTTTTGCGAAATTGACAATAAATACGCCGAACCTTAAATATTTGGCTATCAGTGGACCTGATCTAACTAGGCTGACTGTCGTCGGGAGCCTATATAGTGTTGTTGCAGTTGAAATAGAACTTGAAGTTGAATCAGACCAAATTCCAAATGGTAAGGATCTAACTGAGCTTCTTCGTCGGGTGAAAAATGTGCAATCAATTCGTGCATCGGTTGATACCCTACAGGTAAGTAAGCCTTTGTAAAAATATCATTACTTCATTATTTAAATCACTGTTTTCACCATAAAAGATGGAAGGTTGAATGTAACGTTTCCTTTCCTGATCGTATTTTCGCATGAAGGCTTTACATAGTTTCCCACATTTGTTGCCGACATTTGAGGATTTATTAAATCTGAAGATCAATGGCCACCGAAGGGACGACGGTCTGGCTTGGAAAGCATTGCCATCTGTACTCAAAAATGCCCCCAATCTTGAAGTGCTTGTTTTGGAAAACGTGAAGGACTTTATGAAATGTGCAACCAAAATTTCATCATATATATATGAACCCATTAATTTAATGGACCTTTCTTTCAATGGCTAGATCTTTTGGTCCGACGAAGAAGTTAAGTGTCCTGTCAAAGATATATTTCCCGCGGGCTTAATTGAAAATCTAAAGGAGATAGAGTTAAAAGATTACTGTAGAGACGATTTTTCAACTCGAACTGATTGAGCATTTTGTTACGAATGCAAAAGCATTAAGGAAATTAAAAGTTAGTGCAGGCCGAGAGCCTTCAGTTTGCGCAAGGATATTGTCATTCAAGAGAAGTTCTGAGGACTGTCGAATCGTGTTTGATGATCTGAATTTAGAAGCAAAAAAAAGTGTCCTAAATCCTAATTTCACATTTATGAAAGTATTGGAAGTCCTGTGTACCGTATACATTATGCTTTCTACAACAAGCTTTCAGTAAATGTCTTTCACTAATTCTGTTTAGTTCTCTGGCTTTTCTTCTGTTCTTGATCTCGGCTATAGTTAGTTAGCTCTGTTTGAGGCTGCAGATTCATACCTTCTTTCCTCTTCAATGTTTACATCCCCGGAAAGCAAACCTGACGTTACATTGTTAGTTCAGTTATCCCTTAAATTATTGAAATCAGAATCAGAAAGTTAGGATGAATTACGAATGGGCAAATGGCAAAGGGAAGGAAGCAGAGAAAAAATTAGATATATGTCCTGCTATATCACTTGATAAATATCAGTACATGGTTAACTCTAAAGAACAAAGGTTTCATCTTGAGGTACAATTAGATTGAGATAGTCATCAACAGTCATTACTATACCAAGACACCCAACAATTTCCTGTTCATAATGTTTCAGACCTATCACCTATTGAATGTCTTGGGGCAAACAAGAGTCCTTTGTTCTCGCCGGCGCCCGAAACAGGGGTGTACTGGTAGTGATAGAAGATCGCAGATGGCGTAACGCAGTAATGCCGGCAGCTTGCCAGAAGTTTTACGGACGCCGGCGCAACAAGAATGGCGGACCCACCCAAATTGGATAACTTGCTTATTACAAGCTGATGATTATTAATTTGCCTTGTACATTTATCAAACTCAAGTAAAATTTCTAGTCTATAGAGCTGAAAAACCATTAAACACAGTATAAAACGAAGACTTTTTTTTTAGTGTTATAATTATGACAGAAGATATTATCTCCATAAAAGAAACTCTTTCATTGTCGCTCTCAAACATACGTTTTGGAAAGTGTATCTATACTATTGTACGTACCAAGAAAAAGTGTATATATTATAATATTAGCTAGTATACATTTTTGTTTGGAATCAAACTAAAAGCAATTTTGGGAGGATCACTGGAAATAGGACTTCGGAGATACAACGGTAAGCCTCTTGTGTTAGATGAAGGCCATCCCAACTAATGTAACGATTAGGGTTTGGACAAATAGAAGATCCTTGTCTTCCACAGTTAAAAATTGTCCCGTCAGAGTTGTACTTGCCACCGCTCCCACAACAAGCTTTCAATAATGTCCCCGTGTCAAAACCTTGATGTACACATCCACGATACTCAGTAAGGCATCAAAATCATTAAAAAAAAACATAGTGATCGAAACAATAAATTATTCCTAACAATTCACTAATTATGAATATACCTAGAATTGGTGCACGAGCAAAAATGGAAATGAAAGCCCGGAAGTAGTCAGCGTAGACTATGGTAATATTAGGGTATTGTACTCTCAAAGAGTTCAAAGCATTTTGGAGATAGGCATTTTGATACATAGCCAAATCATTGTAGCTTTTCGCACATCCAAATTGATCGAATTCATGAGGGGTTGATGCAGTCGTGTTAGAGATTAGGGTCAAAACGGATGGGAGACAACCATATGGAAAATTTCCAGGGACCACTATTCGCGTTGCGCCAAGCCCTATTACGTCCTGTATCCATCGAATAATATTTTACAAAATTGAAGGGATAAAAAAGGAAATTAATCATAATGTGATGTGCATAAATGTAAAAGGTCTCAAAACAGGATTATTTTAGCATGAGTAACGATACACATCTCATCCATTATTTTTTTTTTAAAAAATAAAAATTTGAATGGTCACAGAAAGAATCAAACCCTGGAACTCCTCTAATAATCATACTCATCCTAATCCCTCAACTACCCCACCCAACATTTCCAACCCCCACATCTCACCCATTTCATCTCACATTACATATCATTTACTTATTGGTGAAATTTAATGAGTAAATTAATTCAATCACATTCACAATCAACCAATATTTCTATTACTCCCATATTTCTTTAATAGATTTTAAAAATACTTTTATTTAAATTTTTTTTATAATAAATAGATCATAGCCCAAAAAAAGTAAACCCTTCAGGGTATGTTGGGAATTTATCCAGAGAAGAAACCCGACATGCAGTCAATAAGTAAGATAAGACCCATCTGCACTAAAAAACTCAAGCTAATGGGTCTTGAGTTTATCTTACTTATTACTGATTCACATGTCCTCATGCCTCCGATGTGAGATTCACAATCCTTGCCACATGACTCTCAACATTCTCTCCCGTCATGGGCAATCTCCACATCGGGCTTCCAAATTATCTTAACAAGCCCAAATATGTACTCAACCTGAGTAACTGGGCCGCCCATCCCTACGTTTCAGCTCGTAGTGAGCCTTTGACTGCCTGGGTTCAGTCAGATCAACTGAGATAATTTAGGCTAAATCACCCACCCAACTAGCCAAACCTGATACCACTATTGGAGATTTATCTGGAGGAAAGAACCCGGCATGCAGCCCAATAAGTAAGATAAAACACATATGGACTTAAAAGTTCAAGCTAATGGGTCCTGAGTTTATCTTACTTGTTAACTTATTCACATGTTCTCGTACTTCCGATGTGGGATTTACAACCCTTGTCACATGACCCTCAACAAGGTAAAGTTATAATAATGCAAATGATTATTAATGGGATGAATATTAATAAGAAATATAATATTTACATTAAATTATTTAAATGCGAATTAGAAATGGTGCACCAAAGTATTGTAAACTTTTTGTCCAATAAGTAAATGGCACGTAAGGTGAGATGTAATAGTGAGATGAAAACGGTGAGATGAATATCATTTCCTTTTGGGATACGTAAGCGTAATGTTAGCAAACTAACTCTTATGCCTTTAACAGTGGCTTCAGTGATGGATGGTATGTAAGTGCGTATCTCTTGAAGAGATCTGCCATGTTGTAAGGGATAGTAGATGTCATTTCCTCCAATCTCCCCAAAAAACACCAGTGAACTTTTTAGCCTGGTTGAACATTCTAACATGGAAGTCATAATTTATAAACGCTATTCAATAAGAGTAACAATAAATATTATAAATTTATTCTATAAAATATCTTATTGACACATATATTTATATGTAGAAAAAAAATACCAAGTACCGGTTGACGACGAGCAAATCGTGCCTAGGTATTGTCTAAACCAATTGATTTGGCCGGGGAGGGGAGTTACGAAAGGTAGAATCATGATCCCTTTTTGCATAAAATAAGGGAAATCAAGAGCAGTAGCGCCAGCATTAGCAAAATTCACTCCATTTACGAAGGATGCATTTGCATCCAGATACGGATTAAGAAGCGATAGGCCAAGACGCAATGCTGAAATCAACCAGACAATAGTAATCACAATATATAAGCAAGAAAATAAATAATTACATATTTCTACATCTTCAAACAATTACTCAAAAATCACGCACGAACCAGATTTAATATTCCTAGTGAAGGGTGGGATAAAATTTACCAAAATAATCGATAATGAGAAGGCCATCAGACCAACGACCTGTGGGTCTGCCGATAGTTATACCATAAGGAGGGCGAGCAGCGGGAAGTGTTGTACCATTACCAGGAACTCGGATCAAGTTGCCGGTATCGGCAAGTGAATCTCCTATTTGATATATGGAGTCAACCCTATTGTATTGAATTACATTTGCAAATGAGAAATTGATGGACATGAGTAAGGCGATAATTGCAACATAGTAGTACATCATTGAACATTTATTTTCCCCCGTTTTTGCTAGTATTTTGGGATGTATACGCATGGAGTGTATAACACAGAGTTGTACTATTTATACAAGGAAGAAGGGTACATTGTCCATGGCTTTTGTATTTTATTTATCTTTTTTTTTGGTACAATAAATGACGTCAAAGGTTAAATTACTAAAATGCTACTTCTGTTTTTTTTTTTTTTTAATTTGTTATATTATGGTGAACACAATTTGTTTTTTTTTTGTATCTGTCGTTCCTCATTTCTAATAAAACATTAGATAAACAGTTTTCAGTTTCATCCATTTCTCTCTAATTTTAATATCATGACAATTATTTTGTTTTCCTTAAAATTTTAATTCTTATTTAGTCAGCAATACCTTTAATCAAGAGCAAAAAAGCTATTATATTTAAAATTAAAGTCTCAATCACAATTTGATTATTCTACTACGGTAGATAAAAAAACGCAAGTAGTACTAAATTATCATATTTTGGGAATGAAAAAATTTGACAAAGTCATATTCCAACCCTACTCCTATCCATAAACTCGACGAAGAGTGTTTTATCAATTTGGAATGTGTGGAGGTGTTTGAAAAACGAAACAAAAAACCATGGAAATGCTCAAATTGCCTGATACGTACGTATAAGGTAAGCTAGCTGCTGTATAGCAGTTTTATCTTGTCAATTAGGCATGCCATCTTCCAATTCAGTTTGATCGTGTCAACTTGAAAGCGGTTTGGACTTTTGAGAAACAGCCAATGTTAGGTACCAACAAATATCGCCAATTTTAGGCGCGCGATTTTTTAATCCCATTTCGATTAGTCAACAAACAAGCGGCCGGAACCGCCCCTATGGCATGAACGCATGCAAACATGTCATTTGTGGGATTCGGATTACATTTGAATTTAGAATAAAGGGAAAAAAAAAGTAAGGAAAGGATGATGAGAAAGAGAATTATTGGAATCCTCTGGAATAGAAGAGCTTCTATCAGCAGTACCGATGACGATAGTGTGATTTAGTTTTATATTTTTTTTAAACAAAAAACAATTTTATTAATAATAAATAAAAAATAAGGCAACGAATACACTAAACCCTATATCAAATACAATTTTGAGTTTAAAGTAAAGTTTAATCTTTGTTCAATCTAGCAGACTGATGAACTTGAACTTTCTTTTTAGCTTTGGCTTTCTTCGATCGATTGAGGTATGTTGGAGCAGAAACTTCACAATAAAAGGAATCTTGTTCCATTGTGTATTCCATATTGAAATCATCACCATCAAACTCATTGGAAGCATGATTTAATCCGCCTTCGGAATGTATTTCTTCAATCAAATAATTTGGATTAAAAGGCTTGGTGTTCATCCCTATTTCCATATCATCCTTGGACAAGTACGTTTTTGGGACCGTAATTGGCAGTAGAATCTATAGAATAGGAATTTAGGATGGAGAAGAGGTGGTAAAGTCTAGAGCTTCAGGATTTATTTTTTGACTGAAGTTGTTACTAGAGCTATTTGACAGGACAGAGTGGGACTTATCTTCATTGGGATTTAACTCTTTAACGGAGCAGTTAAAAGAGTTACTTGAGGAAGAGATTCCTTCCTTAATTATGGGAGAAGATTGCTGCGACATAGAGTTGGATGTTGACTTTTCCACAGTTGAATTTTGAATATCCAGATGAGGGGACGAGATCACGAGAGACAGCACAATTGGAGCTGGATCACGGGGGGTTGTTGCAACATCAGAGGCGTTTCCCAACACCCGCCGAAAAATTCTACAGGTCACGGCCGTCTTCCGGTGATGCCGTAGCTTCTCCATGGATGCTTACTGGGCGCTCTACGATCGGAAGGGGAACAGATGTTGATTGGTGATTCCCAATTGCAATTGTGACATCAACAGAGGCGCCTTGCTCAATTGTGGTTCGCTGATTGGAGTCCGTAAGTGGTGTTAGATATAATATTTGTAATTGTAAAGTTAGTTTTTAGAGATAAGTGTTTTTTGAAATTCTTATGTATTTATCTCTTTAAGAGTTCTATCTTCATTGTACTTATCATGTAAAACTTCAACTCTATATAATTCAAGTACACCAGACTAATCAAATCAATTAAGCCTGTTTGATTCTTTCATGGTATCAGCAGAAATGGCTGCTTCCACATCTATCTCCCCTCCCCACAACCCCTTTGGTGTTCATATTAAAGATCTTGTTCCTGTCACTTTAGATCAAACTAATTAATATGAAGTGGAGCTATCTCTTCCTTCCTGTCTTGGAAATTTATGATCTACATCCTCATCTTGATACTTCTATTCCTATCCCTCCACTACCATCCCAAATTCTTCCGATAAACTTGTTCCCAACCCTGCTTATAATCATTGGCGCCGTCTTGATCGCTTGATTCTCACTTGGATCAATGCTACTATAGCCACTGATCTCTTGCCTCTTTTGTATGATGCCTCTTCTGCTGCTGAGGCTTGGACCTCCTTAAAATCTCACTTTCTCCAACAAACCACTGCTCGTGAATTGCAGCTTAAACTGCAACTTCAAACCCTCAAAAAGGGTGATCTATCAATTGATAAATTCATGACCAAAATTCAAGAAACCTCTGATTCTCTTACGGCTATTGGTCGTTCCATCTCTGATCCTGAATTGGTCCTCTCTGTTCTTCAAGGTCTTCCACCTTCTTATGAAGCTTTCATCACTATGGCTTCTAATCAGAAACCTCCACCCACCTTTATGGAACTCTGGACTATGCTACTTACTCAGGAGTCCCGTATTGAACAACTTCATGGTGTTCCTGTTTCTTCTTCATCCTCCACGGCATTTGTTGCCACCAAGGACTACTTACCTTCTTCTCGTGGTGGTCGATCTGCTCGTGGTCGTGGTTTTGCTGGCCGTTGGCAAAATCGTGGACGCGGTGGTCGTGGTCGTGCAGGCTGGCACCCTTCTAGACGTGGCAATGGTTCCTTTATGTTGCCTAGTTCTCCAGCTTCTCGGGGTATTTTGGGTTCTGCTCCTTACCCGCCATTTGTTTCTCAACAATCAAATCAACCCTCTTTTGCATCTCTAAACCCTGCTCTTCCCAATGTCAAGTGCCAGATTTGCAACAACTCTGGACATGTTGCTTTGATTTGTCCAGATAGTCTAAATCATGCCTATGCTGCCTCTGATATTAGCAGCTCCTTTGCGGGCCTTTCTCTCAATGATTCTGGTGATAGAACTTGGTACATGGATAGTGGTGCTGGCTCCCATATGACTCATGATCAAGGTCAGCTTCAATCTTCTGCTACTCCATCTCATGCTTCTATTACTTTAGGCAATTGTTCTACTATCCCAGTCTATCAATCTGGTAATTCATCTTTTTCCACGCCTTATAAATCTTTTCAGTTAAATTCAGTTCTTCACTCTCCTTATTTGTCTGCTAACTTACTCTCCGTTAAGAAATTTACTCGTGATAATCATTGCTTTATTGAATTTCATCATTGGGGTTTTGTTGTTAAGGATTTGGTGACGGGGAGAGGGCTTCTACCATGCCCCAGTGACAGTCCTATATATCCCCTTATCCTCCCGTCTTCTGCTTCCCGATCTTCAGCTCTTGGTTCTTCTTTGCATCCGGCTCTCCTCTCTACCACTTCATCAGCATCTCTTTGGCATGCTCGCCTTGGACATCCTGGACGTGATGTGCTTCATCATCTTCATCGTCGCAATTTTATTTCTTTTAATAAAAAGGATGATCCCAACCTTCCTTGCAAATCTTGTCTAGTGTCTAAGCATTCTAATTTACCTTTTTCACATAGCACCTCAATTTCATCTAATGTATTTGATTTAATTCATTCGGGTGTATGGACATCTCCTATTTCCTCTGTCAGTGGCTATCGTTATTATGTCATCTTTGTAGACGATTACTCCCGCTTTACTTGGTTTTATCCTTTACGTTTTAAACATAAAGTTTGTGAATGTTTTAAAACCTTCAAAGCACATGTCGAAACACAATTCTACTCTTGTCTCAAAACTTTTCGCACTGACGGTGGTGGCGAATATCTCAATTCTCGCTTCGTTCAATTTCTTAATGAAAATGGCATTCATTATCAATTTACTTGCCCACATACGCGGCTTCAAAATGGTCTTTCTGAACGAAAGCATCGTCATCTTTCAAATGTTGCCCGTATTGTGCTTTATCATGCTAATGCGTCTCATTCTCTTTGGGTAGAAGCTTTTTCCACTGCTGTATTTTTAATCAATAGGCTCCCCACTCCTGTTCTTCACCATCAATCACCTTTTGAAGTCTTGTTCAATCGACCTCCTGATTACACTATTTTTCGACCTTTCGGTTGCTTATGTTATCCTAATCTTCAAGCCTATAGAACTCATAAATTAAATTCCCCGTCAGCTCCTTGTGCCTTTCTTGTTTATAGTTCTCAACAAAAGGGTTACTGTTGTCTTCACCTTTCGACTCAGCGAGTCTATATCAGTTGCAGTGTTCGTTTTGTTGAAAATGTCTTTCCCTTCACATCATCCCTTTCAGCTCCTGATCCTTCCACTCAGTCTTCTTTGCGTCGTCGTCCACTTTTTCCTGTTCCTTCCTTACAAATAAGTCCGTGTTCATCCACACATACACCTACTCCTACTGTCACTCCTTCTACCAATTCTGAACTTTCATCCTCTCATCCTATGCTCACTCGCCTTAAGGCTGGAATTCACAAACCTAATCCTAAATATGCACTAGCTGCTCTTCCTTCTCAACCTTTACCATCTGAACCCACCTCATATTCAGCCGCATCTAAAGAACCTCATTGGCGTGCTGCCATGGCCGATGAATTCAATGCTCTCATTTCTAATCAAACTTGGACTCTTGTTCCATATCGCCCTCACATGCATGTCATTGGCAGTAAGTGGGTGTATCGTATCCAACAAAAATCTGATGGCTCTCTTGCACAATGCAAAGCGAGACTTGTCGCAAAGGGTTATAACCAACAACGTGGTATTGACTTTGATGAAACTTTCAGTCCCGTTGTTCGGCCACCCACCATTCGCTTGGTCCTCTTCATTG